TCTAAAGCAAAAAATGGTAATTCAATTAGGTAACTGACAAACCTGCCACTAGAATCGTATTGGTGTTAGAGATATACTTTCAGATATGTTCTTGTGGCAAAAAGATTGCCTCTCCAGCAGAACACGGATGAGACAGAACCATAATCCTGGAGGACAGAGGAAAAATTAAGTGTTAACACAAGCGATATGGATCACGTGCATTTAAAAAAATACCATTTGGGTTTTAGAGCAAAAAACTGGTTAAAATGGCGTTTTATTTCTTTTACATCATTAGACGTGGCTGCAGATAGCAACCATGTAATACCTGCCTGGCAATGTGGAATGAATATGCATTAAGAGTGCGGTCATGAGAAAACCAGGGAAATCAATCAGAAATCGGCAAGGTGGGGATGAACATATTTTAATAATTTTTGGTGTGGTAAACCATAAATAAGAAAGATATTAGCAGTCATTGGCTTTCTTATTTAGAATCATTTGTTTTAAAAATATGGGGCAAAGTCTATTTTGGCAAAATATAGCTTTTTTTAGCTCTTGAAAAACTACAATTTTAAATATTATTTTAAAAAAACATGTATATCATAACAAATTGTTTAGTAAGCCATCTGATGGGTTAAGGAAAGGGCTTTAATACCCAGTACAGATTTATCATAATGGCACTGTCATGACCACAAAATTTTGATTCTACCAAGGCATGTTTTTTGTAAGCTTGACCCCATCCCATTCTTGAAATGCACACAGGTTGTATCCATATGATTTGGTATGTGTTGATAGAAAAGGGTTGGAAAATGTATTTTGTAAAATAAAATCTGTGTTAAATCCTGTAAAATAGAACTGTAACAATTTTAAAAAGGGCCTAAAAAAAAAAAAATATATATATATATATATATATATATATATATATATATATATATATATATATATATATATATATATATATATATATATTTACTACTGAAATGCTAAACTGCTTCTTCAACTAAATCAATACGTCAAAACCATGTATAGGTTTGTGAAAAATATTTTAAATGAACATGATGCTCTGCAATAACAGGATATTGAAACTAACGCAATGTCACGCGTGGATATCAACTAAAATGGTAAAGCATCTCAACAAATTATGCACGCGGTACTTAAATTATGCAATGATGCTTGAGGTACTCTAATTTGCATAACTAAGTACAGAATTCGCCGAGAACTGCCGACCTTCCGACGTCTCTTTTATTTTGTAAATATTTATAAGAGGGCCTTGTCGATATTTCCAATGTTTAGGTACATGTAGTACGTGAAATGATATAGTGCTGTTTATAATCTAATATGCAGTCTGCCATAACTACCTCCTCAGTACATGCTTGACCAATACCTATGGTACAGGTTCCTAAGTCAGGACGACCTTGGATACAGTATGGTAAAATATACCATTATCAAGCATCCCATTTTTGATTATGCATCGCTGGTTTGCAGTAGTCTGCAGTGAGTCATATTGAAATTCATGGGCTGAAATAAGCACCTATTATATTAGCAGATATGACGTAAAGAATTTATCATTCAACAACAAATATCTCACTGTTTCAATATTAAGCTCCAATTCCCATCCAGAAAGGGGCCTCGTTTTGGCTCCCAGCGAATATTATGTTAGGTCTTGTTAGGTCACTGGATCGGTGCATAAACGAGGTAATTGTACCCTACGGCTATATATCTATCGGTGTGTGCGAGTGTGTGTGTGTGTGTGAGTTATTTTGTTACATAATGAATGAATTGCTTTACTCTAAAACAGACTCATCAGCAAATGCAGACATTGTAGAAAATAAGGGAGACGTGGGATAGATGGCCCAGTTAGACAACTTGTAGAGCCAACTTGGAATGAGTTAGGGCAGCAAACCCAGTTTTAAAGCAAGCGGGATGGACGTAGCTATGTATGCAATGCCATTGTTTTGCAAATATAATGTCACAGGGCTGACATTTGACAAAAACAAAAAGCCCGCATCTTTCGGCAGGGGGGGGGCAACTTCCTTACGGTTCTCAATGTATTCTAAAGCACTTGGTGTATTTTTTCACAGTTCTAATGTTGTTGTATAATGAATAACGATTCGAGAACTGTCTTTGGGAGGTCCTTCAGAATGTCTTACAACAGATTAAGAACTAAGAACGAAGAACCCAAAAAACAGGGTTTACAAGTTGTAACTATCTCAATGATCTTGGCTCTGCTGCATGTATCTAATAGGCTATAAATCAGGTGTACGTTATTCTATGCCTTTAATGGCAAATGATGCTTACTTTCAAAACCGTTCATGAATTGCAAGATGTAAATCAATGCCCCTGTCATTAACAACAGTACAGGTAAACGGGCTGTCCGCCTGCAATGAAGACATCTACAAAGTCTCCTCACCGTAGATCTCATCTTACCATACGCCACAGAGGCAGGCGAAGTGATAAATCCAAGAGAAAAGATCCTCAGATTAAATGACGTGTCTCTCGCACGTAGCTACTGGTATGATTTGAACAATTAATAATGAACGTAGAAAAGCAATCTGTGTTCCAAGAATTAGAAAAACTGTAAAACGGTGACGTAGCAGGGTACGGTGCTTCACATGTGGTATAATTCATGCATTAATTATTTTTGAACTACAACAAAAAGAACTAAACAAATTAAGAAATTAAAACATTATTGTTCATAAATTCAGACTGAAATACATGTATAACTGGATTAAGTGAAAGGCTAGACGTTAACCCATGGGCGAAACCAGGCATACGCACGGATGCACTGTGCGTAGAATTTTTTGGACCAACCATAATATTATTCTCTATAAATTCAGTGTATTTTTCAAGGAATATAATCGAAAATCCCCTTCGGTTGTTAGTTAACGTCACCTGTTTGTGATATATATGCCACAATAATTGGTTGATCCCTGCAAAAACCTGTGAAAGTGTGTAGGATTAGTAGACTGAGAAACTCATGCAAGGAAAGAAAATTCGGGTAAAAAATAAAGAGATGGCAGATTAAATCATATGGCTGGGGTCGTAAATGACCCCACATGGTCTAGGACAGATTGAGAACCGTAGGTGGGCGTTAAATGAGACATTTTTTTTATTTATTTATTTGCAGGGGTTATCCGGTGNGGATTAGTAGACTGAGAAACTCATGCAAGGAAAGAAAATTCGGGTAAAAAATAAAGAGATGGCACATTAAATCATATGGCTGGGGTCGTAAATGACCCCACATGGTCTAGGACAGATTGAGAACCGTAGGTGGGCGTTAAATGAGACATTTTTTTTTTATATTTTTATTTATTTGCAGGGGTTGTTCGGTGGCTCCCCTCCCCCCCCCTCTCACCCTCTTACTCACAAATCTTGACAGGACTCCGAACATGAGCACAAACAACGTGTAGAATAAGCCTTATTAAATTTAGGATTTAAATTTATTTTCAATTCCAATTTTATTCAACACACAAACACATACAGAGACACACGACGGACAGACCAGTGACGGATCCAGGATCATTTAATGGGAGGTCCGCGGGTTCAGGGCCCACTGAAGGCCCCGAAAATATTTGGTATTTTAGAGAGCGAACGGTACCATTTGGTACGGTTTAGTACAATAGATCAGACAGTCAAATTTTAATTCCAAGAGGAGAATATTAATGTGCTTTTTTTAAGAAAGCGAGGGGGTGTCAGGACCCCCCCCCCCCTGACGCCCCCTCTAAATCCCTGACTGAGCAATTCTTTACTCTAAAAACAAATTATAAGATAACGGCGCCATCTTCAAAATTCATATAAAACCATTGATATTTAATGCAAAGCGTAAAGGTGTGTCAAAACAGTCATCGCTTGAATTTCTACTAGATGACTTACCAGTGGAACTGATTTTAATAGAGGTACGTTCTTTTATTCTCTTACGACCAAGACAATAGTCGATGTTGATGGGGAGGGGGGGTAAATTTTTGTTGATATTATATTAGTTGGTTTGTCTTAGAACAATAGAAGTTAACTGCATTTCAGAAGCCTAAGCTTCGACCAAGAGCTCAAAACACCATTTTCTGAAACAGGTCCCAAGTGGATGTCTTCATATTCAGTCTATGGCAATAACACTGCTTTAATGAATGTCAACTGGCAGTTTCCTTATTATTGTGGTCAGCTTGAACCAAGTACACATGTATCACCTGGAATTAATCATCGTGCACTTTTAGTAGCTAGCGTCATTTTTGCTCCAGCTAAAATGGTTTCATAAGTGTTGAATCAGCACTCAATTCATACTTGCGGTCTTCATTTTAACCACGTTCAATAGTATGTAGAGTAAGCCAACAGCACGGAAACCTCGTCACTGACTAAAAGCGCAGGTAGTAAATTCATGTCTGGGTCGTTCATTTGTGCGTTTGTGCTACAAAAGCTTGGCCTCGTGTAGGAAAACGGCAATTATAGTTCATGAGGCATGTGGTAGAACTATACCCCAACTTCTTAATGCAATGCAAGGCAAGGAAACACAAACACCTTAAAATATACGACATACACCAATGCATAATCCTATCCGCTACCTACCTCAATATATCACAACGGGTGCTACCTGTGGCACTGATAACTTAAATACATTTAAACATTGTTTCTATGGTATTTCAACTGGGTTAATATATATACATGTGTGTGTGTGTGTGTGTGTGTGATTGTAAATGTTTATTTTAGAGTACCTTCATTCTTGTATCAATGGACATTTGGTTTTCTTTTCAAGGCACAGTTGTGTATTTTTGAAGTTTTTGTGCTTGCACAAAGTTACCATGGCAACGGGATCACCCAAGTTCAAGATGAATTGACTTTTTCATATTGTTCCGGTCTAAAGCTTTCTCTATAGATGGCTAGGTGGCATATATTAGCATGAGTAACTGCTTTAGCAGGACTGTAAAATATTAATGACAACCAGTGAGATTTCTGCTTGTCGATTGCAGTTGAGGTTTTACTTGCAAATGAAACGATGGTGTCTGTAAAAAAAGAGCTTTTGTGAAAAATAGTATTCATAGATTAAATGTAAACATAGCACCATATCTTTTCATCTGCTTTCTTCCCTCCTTCACATAGAATGGTCCAAAGAAATCTACTGCACTGTAGGTGAATGGAGGTGCATGTTCCAGTCTGTCAGCTGGAAGATCTGACGTTTTCTGACTCTGTGAGTTTGCTCGTAGCTTACGACAGGTCACACATTTCCATATATATGATCCAATCTTGGCACGGCCAGAAATTATCCAATAACCACTAGCTCGGACTTCATTAAGAGTAATGCCACTTCCTGAATGTCCGCATCGTGTATGATAGTGGTCAATAATGAGATTTGTAACGTGATGATGCTTAGGCAGAATCACTGGGTGCGTAAGCTCTCTGAGTAGATTTGCCCTCTTTATACGACCACCTACTCTGAGTTGTCCATCTTCACATAAAAATGGGTCTAGGCGGTATAGTGACCTGGTTTTCTTGATTTGTTCGTTGCGATATCTTGCCTGTTTTCTCTCTGTGTGTTCACTATTATCTTCTCTGTTAATTGCTTTCAGTATTTCAATTTCCTTCTCAAATGTAGCAGTCTGTGTTGACTTGAGAATGATCTTTTCTGCCACTTGTATTTCTTGAACATTCAACGGTTCATTTCTGGCCTCAACTGTGTTCTGCTGTGTAGATTTCCTGTTCTTAGCTTGTTTCAGCTTTTGTATGAATCGTAAACACCACATAACAACTCGTGTTGCTATGTTCCAGGAAGAAAACCTTTTCAATACATCAGACAAGTGATCGTGGTTGGTTTCTACATTAGGAGCAAATACATTGACTTCAGATTTGCGTACTTCTGGGTCATCTGGTGCTAGTCTGAATTGGGTATTAGTGGTAGATAGTGGTTCATCAATGAGCAGGAAGTCTGGCCCATTCCACCACTGTTCATTCTGTAATAGCTCTGTCACACCTGTTCCCCTGGAGGCTATATCAGCTGGGTTGTCACTGGACTTAACATGCCTCCATTGCGACGGCTGACTGACTTCTCTAATTTGTTGTATTCTATTAGCTACAAAGACATGACATCTCTAAGCATCATTATTGACATACCCTAGAACAACCTTGCTGTCAGTCCAATACACATGGGCGATGTCCTCATACTCTAACTCCTTGGCAAGAAAGCTCCCCACCTTTATAGACATCACTGCTGCTGACAACTCTAGGCGTGGGACTATCACTGGTTTAGAGGGAGCTACCTTGGACTTGCCCATAACTAACGTGGTTGCTATTCTTCCTGTGTTGCTTTTAAGTCTCAAGTAACTACTCTGACCTAGGCCTTCTACACTGGCATCTGAGAAGTGATGAAGTTCTGCAGTAGTCACTTCACCAAAATCATTTGGCTTATAGCACCGTGGTATATTCAACTTGGTTAAGTTCAGCAAATCTGAGCGCCATCTTTCCCATCTGCAACTAATACTCTCTGGCACTTGATCATCCCACTCTGCACCGTCTCTGCGTAGCTCTTGGAGAATTTTCTTACCGCCAAGGATGAATGGTGAGACAAGGCCTAAAGGGTCAAATATGCAACTTACAGTGGAGAGAATGCCCCTTCTTGTTAATGGCTTATCATTGATCTGGACCTTAAACTGAAAACTGTCCGCTTCTACACACCACTGTACTCCTAAAGCTGGGCATATTGGCAATGTGTCTCTGTTAAGGTCAATGTTTCTCATTTCTTTGGCTCGCTCTGACATTGGGATTGTATTCATCACTTCACGGTTGTTTGATACTAGCTTGTGAAGTCTTAGGTTACCTTTGTTCAGCAGCTCTCTTGTTTCACTAATAAGATGTATAGCTTCTTCACTTGACTCGATGCTCTTGAGTCCATCGTCTACATAAAAGTCATTCTTAAGAAAGGCAATGACGTTTGATGAATACTCATCTTGGTAGTCCTCTGCTAGTTTCCTCAGTCCATACAATGCGCATGCTGGTGAACTTATCGCTCCAAATATATGAGACGTCATTCTGTATTTGATGTGATTACTATTGAGGTCACCGTCTTTCCACCATAGGAACTGTAAAAACTTTCTATCCTCTTCTTTCACTTTAAACATGTGAAACATGTTCTCCATGTCACCCATGTTTGCTACTGGCTGCTCTCTAAACCTCAATAAAACACCTATGAGCGAGTTATTCTGACCAGGTCCTTTCAACAGGCAGTCGTTTAGCGCGACATTTTCATGTTTTGCACTGGCATCAAGCACCACTCGTAATTTCTCACGTTTCTTGGGGTGATATACACCATGATGTGGTAAGTACCAACCTCCATCTTCATGAGGTGATTCTTCTGCATAGCATTTATCTATGAGGCCCTGCATAAAACTGTTATAGTGCTCATAATACTTCGGGTTGTGGATTAGCCTTTTCCTTAGCTGCTCTAGTCTGATCTCAGCTGCTGGTTTGTTGTTTGGTCATGCTGGATGTCCATCTTTAAATGGTAGTGGCATCTCGTAAAAACCCTCGTTGAAATGTATGCCCTCCTTCATAATCTTCATGAACTTCTGGTCTTGAAGGCTTAACCTTTCATCTTTCTGTTGGTCGAAACCTTGGTCAAAGAGACTGCAAACCTCAGCGGGGCTGATCTCTGTCACTTGTGTTCTAAAGACAAAGGCATGTGTTGCAAAGCTCTTGTTCTCATCTATGGGTCTTGATTTATCCACTGGCCCTACTATACCCCAACCTTGGTTACATCTGTATGCATATGAGTCCTCTCCTCTACCATGTACGTATTCCAGACCTCTAATGGCCTTCATACAGTTTACTCCCAACAGCAGCCCTACCTCTAAGTCTGGGCGATAAGGAGTAATCTTATCAGCAATTGAGTGCAAGTGTGGCCATTTCTTAGCAGTTTCTGGTCTGGGTATCTGCGATCGCTTAACTGGAATGGAGTCTCTGGAGTATGTATCTGGAAGCTCAATCAATGTCTCTTGGTTCAGACCTCTCACAACAAGTCCTCCAACTTTCCTGCTCGGGACGGTTTTTTCTCCAAGTATGGTTGAAAGTCTGATGTCTATATGCTTCCCTTTACATTCGAGTTCACTGAGGGTCGAGGACTTTACAAAGCAGGCATCTGACTGCTCGTCTAGTACTGCATATACCACTGAAAAAATGTCTGGATTATCCTCGTGGTGCACTACAACTGGCACTATCATGGAATGCACATTCTCAGAACTGTGGGTGGTATGGCATACAGCTGCTCCCACTACTTTACTAGTGTAATTGTCATCATGTAGAATTGTTGGATGATAAGAGTTACATTTTTGGCATTTCATTTTACTTCTGCATTCATGTTTTCTGTGACCATATGCAAGGCACCCAAAACATAACCCATTATTCTTTATAATGCCGATTCTTTCATCCATTGTCTTTTCTTGCATTTCTGGGCATTGGTGAAGTTTATGTTGTTCCTTGCATAATATACACTTGTGAACGTGTCTTTCGTTGCTGGATGCAGAGGTAGCCTACTGTACAGTACTGTTTGTGCTGGAACTCTTCTCCTTGGTGCTGGTATAGGTCTCTCTGGTGGTGGTGGAACCTTTCCAAAAATGGGGTCAGCCAATTTACGTGCTTCTTTCTGCACAAAATCTACGAATAACTGAAATGTTATCTTCTGTCCCTTTTCCTTCCTTTCATACACTATGCTTCTCCATTTATCATGCAATTTGAGCGGCAGCTTTGTCATTAGCGTCTTAAGGTTATCAGGATACTCGAGGACTGGGATGGCATCTATTTCTTTTACTGCATACTCACATTCCCTTAAAAATATGCCGTATTTGTCTAGTGCGACATAATCATCATGCTTTATCACTGGCCACTGTAAGGCACGGTTTATATACGATGTCGCAATCTGTTCTTGGTCCCCATACCTTCTCTCATTTCCTTCCATGTGGCCTTGAAACCAATGGATGCATCTAAGTGAGCGAAACCTAGCGTAATTTCATGAGGCTCACCTCTGGTGTATTGCAGTAGATAGTTCAGTTTTTCGAATCTGAATTCTTGGTTTACTGAGTTCCTTTGCTATCATAGTTTGCTCACACAAAGTGAGTGGGGCACAAGATGTTAGTGCGTTTTTGGGCGTAGAAGTCTTTTTTATATTTGACTTTGTGAAGTTAAAATGCTTTTCCAACTCACACATGGTTTGGTTTATATCCGACTCTACCCTTTTCAGTTCTGCTTGCAGAAGTATCATTTCCGCTTGTGTTGCCATCTTTTCTAAATACTATGCTGATCGTCTTTCACTAAATCGTCGCCACGCTCGGCTGACACCTTGATTGGATAGTAAACGATTGTCGTAAAATCGCTAAATGATATTAAAACCGGGTGCATAAACTTGAAAACCACCTAGGACAACCTTAGACTGCCACATTAATCCAATACAATGCAAAAATAAACTACACACACTGGACAAAAGAAGTGTCACCCCCTAACTAAGAGTAATAAAAGTAGGCAGATCTTGGGTACTTATAATGCCTGGTCTACTTATAATGTGACTAATGAGTATAAAACCGCTATACCATGGAATTGTATTGTTGGTCTTGTACATGTACAGCAAATGTTATTCCTGTCTTCCTCCAAAATGGCAAGATACAGGCAATTATCTAACGGTTATAGGTGCAAGTTATTAACCTGAAGAGGCGGAATATAAGCAATGTCAGAATATCGATACAATTGAATTGTTCAGTCAGAACCGTGCAGAGGGTCTGATCTCGGTATAGAAACACTGGATCAAGAGACAAATTGCCTCTGATGGGTCGTCCAAGAAAAAATAATGGCCGTGAAGACCGACGACTGATTTTGATGTCCAGGTTGTCAAAGTTCGACACTGCTTGTCAGTTGACAACACAGTGGAACAATTTCACACATAATAATGTGTCTGTGAACATTGCTAGGCGTCGGTTACATGCTCAGAGAGTGTACAGTAGTGTAGCAAGACTGAAACCTCTTATATCGTTACAAAACAGGCAACGTAGAGTAAACTAGGGTCAACCGGATCTGGAACTGGACAGTTCATGACAATTGGTCCTATATATATTTTTTTCTGATGAATGTCGCTTTGGTCAGACCTCTGACGACAGACGGGTACTATGCTGGCAAACTGCTGGTAAAGCATTTGAACCACATGCACTTAATTTTCGAACCCGGAGCACCATATTCGTCATGGTGTGGGGCTGCATCAGCATCCATGGCTTGGGCAAATTGATAGTGGTTAATGGAAACATGAATCACTAGAAATATATCGGTGTTTTAGAGTCAGGCTTGCTACCATCTATTACTAACATGTTTGGTGACAGGAATTATCCATTTGTTCACCAGGATGACATTGCTCCTTGTCACNCTTGTGAACGTGTCTTTCGTTGCTGGATGCAGAGGCACTAGACAGTACTGTTTGTGCTGGAACTCTTCTCCTTGGTGCTGGTATAGGTCTCTCTGGTGGCGGTGGAACCTTTCCAAAAATGGGGTCAGCCAATTTTCGTGCTTCTTTCTGCACAAAATCGACGAAAACCTGAAAGGTTATCTTCTGTCCCCTTTCCTTCCTTTCATATACTATGCTTCTCCATTTATCATGCAATTTGAGCGGCAGCTTCGTCATTAGCCTCTTAAGGTTATCGGGATACTCGAGGACTGGAATGGCATCTATTTCTTTTACTGCATATTCACATTCCCTTAAAAATATGCCGTATTTGTCTAATGCGACATAATCATCATGCTTTATCACTGGCCACTGTAAGGCACGGTTTATATACGATGTCGCAATCTGTTCTTGGTCCCCATACCTTCTCTCAAATTCCTTCCATGCGGCCTTGAAACCAATGGTTGCATCTAAGTGAGCGAAACCTAGCGTAATTTCATGAGGCTCACCTCTGGTGTATTGCAGTAGATAGTTCAGTTTTTCATCATCAGAGTCGCATGTTTCTATGATTCTACTTTTGAACTGTCTCTTAAACAGCACATATTTGATCGGGTCACCTTCAAATACTTGAATCTGAATTCTTGGTTTACCGAGTTCCTTTGCTATCGTAGTTTGCTCACACAAAGTGAGTGGGGCACAAGATGTTAGTGCGTTTTTGGGCGTAGATGTCTTTTTTATATTTGACTTTGTGAAATTAAAATGCTTTTCCAACTCACACATGGTTTGGTCTATATCCGACTCTACCCTTTTCAGTTCTGCTTGCAGCAGTATCATTTCTGCTTGTGTTGCCATCTTTTCTAAATACTATGCTGATCGTCTTTCACTAAATCGTCGCTGAGTTTCTACTATCTTTCACTAAATCGTCGCTGAGTTTCTACTGTTACGAATAAGCAAACTTCTTTAGTCTTTTTCACATCTATTTTATTTGCTTGTCATTGAAATTGTCACGTAGAAACTGAAATGAACAAAATACATCAAATTAAGAAATTATCCTTAAATTATGTTACAATTACAACTTATAAAGTTCTTATTAACTGTTTAAATTACTAAATGATTCATAAAGTCTTACCTCATTGCGGGAATTAGTGACTTTTAATGATCAGAACATAACTATGATAAGCGCGTGCTCTAGTCAAAAAAGTAAAACGCTATCTCCACCGATGTGCATAACAGCTAAGACGGGCCAAACCGTAACATTAGTAAATGTTACAGCTTTCATAGAAATTTAATCAATTTTCTCCTTATCATTGCTAGACCCATTGTAGGAGTCCATGTTCCTCCCTATTCTTCATTCCATGTTCTTCTAACATTTTACTTGTCACTGATACATGGGAGAGGGAAAATAACAAGGAACTCACATGTTCAGTTCCAACTCTAAAAGTCTCTTTATTAAGTTCAAGCATTCAACATTTATACACATTATCTACAGGTAATCTATCTCCATGCCACAGTGGCAGCAACTGATTTAAATACTAATTGCAATGCAATAGATAACAAGTGATGGTTTCTACTTATCAGATGTGCATACATGTATGCCCCAGGCATACTTAAACATAGAATGATAAATATTCATGCAAGACTGAACTAAAGTGAATGATAATAATGACTTATTATATAAACATAATATGTAAATGAGTGAGTTTATCACTTGCCTTCAGTGGACCTTAACACCATGCCTAAGATAGCTACAGGCAGTAAAGTGATGTTTTTAACCATTTCGAATTAAATAATTTAGTTCTAAATGAATGGACAATTGTTATGCTGTACTACTTTAATGTAGCCAAAAACCAAATATAAAGAGCTCTCTCTGTCTCTCGCTATCTACATGTATCTTTCTCTCTCTCTCTCAAACAAATACCGGTAAATGGATGCATCGCTAATGAATAAATATTGCTTTCTTTTTATTTAGATACGGGTACCATGAGTATGAAGCAGAGTATAACAACCAGCAGATTATGTTGTGGATCAGCTCCCTATAACTGTATAAGTACATACACTGTACCAGTACTAGAAAGACTAATGAATGACGTAGAAACAGCTGTGAAAATGACACACAGATTTGAACGGGAGCAGGCAATTTAGATTCCCGCTCACATGACCCACGTGGTACAAGAGGCGGGAAATTGGTGACCACTTATCAACCGGTTACAGGTACATCTTATCGTTTGGACAACAAAGCGTATTCGGGAGCATGGAAAAGACTGCTTGTCATCTTCACAATGGCGCAGCGGGACTCTTTCTGTCAGTGCTGTCGGCTATTACACTGTCAGTGTCGGCACTTCTCGTCGGCAGTTTTCAAGAAATCTCTGTCCTCGTGTTTTTGGCCTTCCAGCACGTCGTCATTTTCGTTTTCGCTGTCCCCGCCTGGCTTTGGATTGCTAGGCAACAAGATTTTGAGCGCGAATATCCCGAGCGAACAGACCAATTGAATGTAAACAACTGCACGAGGAATGATACAGTGGTCGACAGTAATGCTTCAAAGTTGTTCTACTTCGAAGAAAATCATCAGGAGACTAGGAATTCCCAGAGAAATGACTCCGAGGAGAGTAACTCCGATATTTTGACTTTCATGTGTGAGGGAGAAAAAGCCGATATGAAGAACTCTCAGGAAGTGAAATCCAAGAAAAAACAGCAGGATGATAAGCAGAATCATCATGGAGATATAATAAAAGGAGAAAGAAGATTACAGAGAGAAATATCTCAAGTTGGTGTTACGAATGGCATATCCGAGAGAAAATATGAAACGACCATAGCGCATTTTGAGAATGAAAAGTCTATGAAAGAGGTTACAAAAAAGCTGAATGAATCTAAGGTGGAAAACAATGATAGAAAAAAATTGAACTCAGACACTGAATCTCAGAAACAGAATTCCTTGAATGATAAGGAAATTATTCCCAAGACGGGCTTGAAATCAATAAAAGACTGCGTCTTCGTTGTTATTCGGGGCAGCATGGCGTATTTAACGGCGTGGTGTGCGTTCAATGCTTTTAGATACCTTCCAATAGGAGATGCCTCTGTTCTGGAGTACACCAACCCTATATATTCGGTCATTCTGGCCCGTGTTATACTGAAGGAACCGTGTGGCCTTGTGGAGGCTTTCCTTACATTGGTCATGTTAACAGGTGAGTCTGAGAGAGAGAGAGATCGAATTCAATTATTTTTACCCAATAATTCTCCTTAACCAATTTAGCCCTATACGTGTCAAAGTTTCGAACTGGGTCATTCCTCATAAAAATGTAACCCACACATTTTGTGTAACATCAACATGATTTTTACTTGACCCATTTGTATATGATTACTTTTGTTGTTTTATATTTCAATGCTCTCCTTCAAAACGTGATAAAAAACAGTTATGCAGTTATGTTTCATACTTGTTGCTAAGTCCACATTTCGTTTAAAGTCAACTCGATTAGAAGAGCGTCTCTAATTTTGAAAAAATGTTTCCAATAAATGGGACAGTGACGAATTATGTCAAAATTTTATTATTATTATTATCTTTTTCTTCAGTAATATATTTTTCACACTAAATAATTTGAATTGATATTTTACATTTTTTTCCTGTAGGTATAGTCCTAATATCCAGACCCAGCTTTCTTTGGGGAGACTCAGCCGCACTTAACCCGATAGGTGTCACTCTGGCCATAGCGACCGCCGTGACGTCATCAATTAACATGCTTTTTGGTAGAAAACTGAAGCATGTGCATAGTCTAATTGTCATAGCATCAATAGGTCTCTTTAGTGGCATTATTTCATGGATAGTTGTATTATCCACAGGGGGCGTTTCATTTCCGGTCACGTGGTTGGATTGGTGTGCTGTCGTGTTGAATGGCGTCATGGCATTTACCGCCCGGATTAGTTCCCAGATGGCGCTGCAGATTGAGAACGTCGCCATCGTGAGTATAGTGCGTACTTGTGAACCAATCTTCGTTTTCACATGGCAAGTGACCATTCTTCATGTCATCCCAAAATGGACGTCAGTTGTGGGATCTCTTCTGATTTTGGCGTGTGTCATCGCTCTTAGTATAAGGAAATGTTCAGGTGACCAGGGAAATACTAATTTTGACGGCAACCAGGATGCTCTGTCCGTCAATGGAGTTTCTACGCCCTCCGAGAAACATAAAGTTGTATTGAACAGTAAAAAGATTAAGCTTAACTTTCAGTCTTTGAACTATTTCAAAGATTTCATTTTGTCTTATCCGCAACCAAATGTGAACACAGCACAAAAAAATAATAAATAAAAAAAGAATCAGAGAAGATAATTCGACAATGATTAACACAAAATGCTATTATGATAAACAGTGACATTAAATATAAAAAATAAAATCTTATATTCAGAAGTCTGTTATATATCTTCTCAAAAGGTGGAATATGTTGTATTGTTACATTTAGCGGGTCAAGAGGTTGGGGAAGGGGGGAGGCAAGTGCCCCCACCAGCTTAGAGTTTTGAAAAGAGTATGCCTAGATGACTGTGGGAAAATCTTTGAAATTTAAAATCTTTGAATTGTATTTTATTCACTTTTTGTACGCCCTTATCGAAAATAGCATATACTTCAGTGACATAAGCCATTCTTGCTTGTAGATATGATCCTTTGGAGACGTCATAGTCCAAGTTGGCATCAGCGCAACTGCCACATTACAGCGGATGAACTGCAATCATGTTTGTTTAAAAACTAGTCCAAAGCTGCGTTCACAAAATGCAATTCTACTGCCAATCAGGATCACACGAGATTAGGCGAGATTGCGTAGTGATACCAAAAGTCAATGCGTAGTTGACCTATTTTTCGAGTCAGAAGGATTTTTCACAGGACGAAGAGGTTTTACGAAAAATTGAAGATTAGTTTGTGCTTAGTGTGCCAGTATTGCATGCGTGCAGTACAACAAGTGGTACTAAACGTTTTAATACGATAACTGAACGGCTCCAGTGCATGCGTGCACGGAATATCGCCAACTGAACTATGGCTGTTGAGACAGTAAAATGTTCAGACTTAACATCCGCTATTTTGTCGGATATGGATACTTTGGTAAAGCCTGTTGAGGAACAGTTGCAACTGAAACAAGTGGGCTATGTTAAGATGCCACCGGCATCGTCAAGTGCAACAAAACCTGCCTCTGAAATAGCGAACAGTCGGAAAATAAGCACACATGAAACAACAAATGAACAAAATGCCGACACTGGTGCTCGCCCGCATGCTCGCAAGGCTGTCAAAGGAGACAGCTCAACTGATGGGCCTAGCCCACACAGTTCTAAGCAAAAGCACAATCAGGATGGTAAGCACCATTCCTCTACTTCTTCCACATCTAGTTCACGCAAATCACAGAAAGAAGATTCTGCTAGTCGTCGTGATATCGTTGCACTGCGAGAACAAATGGGTCAGTTGACAGATATGATGACCGGTCTTGCTCCAGTCATAAAGGAGCTGAAAGATTTCAAAACTATGCTTGAAGCTCAAGATACTGAGCCAATGGAAGAAGGTGAATTGGAGCCAGAGGTATGTCATATACAGCTAGAAAACGACTCAGATGCAGAAAGCCATGCTGACTGTAGTACTAGTAAGCCCATTTCTTGTGCCAATGCAACAAGTGATCAAAAACAGGCAGATGATGTTCTTAATGAACTTTCCAATGATCTCATGAAAACGGACAATTGTGGTCCTCCAGTGCTGGATAAACTAGCTGAAATTTTAAACAATGTTGGCTACCACGGAATGAGTGATGATAAAGTGGCAACAAGGGCAAAACAGTTCAATAGACCAGAAAACTGCAAAACTATGACACCATCAAAGGTAAATTCTGAAATTTGGTATGATCTCAAAACTGAAACCAAACATAGAGACTTGAAATATCAGAATATGTTATCAACTCTGTACAGTGGTTTGACACCTTTTGTAGAACTGACTAACCAGCTGCTAATCTCCCTGCAAAGCAAGTCGTGTGAATCACCATTAAAAGCTGAAACAGTCCTCCCAGGTTTAACAAGCGGTTTAGCCCTTATTACCTCTGTTGCCCATGACATAAACATGAGGAGGAGAGAACTTATCAGACCAGAACTCAATTCAGAGGTTATGAAATCCCTGTGCGCTCCAAGCAATCCTGTTTCACAAGAACTGTTCGGTGATGACCTGAGCAAAAATGTAAAGGAATCACATGAAACCAAGAAACTTGCTTTAAAAGTGACAAAGTCCAGCTTGCGTGGTAGAGGAACACGGCGTTTCCATCCTTTTCAGGCTGCTTACTCTCATTTCAAGTATGGCCAATCATCAAACAGCACAAGGCCTTTTTTAGGCCGGGGGCGAGCCAATGTGGCTTGGAAAAAGACAGCTCCACGCGTGTTCAACAACCGTCCAGGTTACAACAGCCAAAACCAGAGGCCATACACCAGCAACAACAAAAAATAAATGTGAGTAAAGTTAAGTATGCTCATATCACTTCAGTGACTGTCACAGAGTGTAGCAAGATTGCTGGGAATATCCAACATTTTCTCCATGAATGGAAACAACTAACTAGTGATAAAACTATCTTGGCTTTTGTAGAGGGTTGCACATTTGAATTTCTTGAAACACCTGCTCAAATCTCTGAACCTAAATCACTCACATTCAATAGAGTAGAAACTGAGGCCATTAATTCAGAGGTTGATAAATTGCTCTCTAAAGGAGTTCTCATTGAATGCCAAGATGAGCCAGGCCAGTTTATATCAACAGTATTTTTGAGACCAAAGAAAGATGGGACTTTTAGGATGATCCTTAATTTGAAAAAACTCAATCTGGTCATAGCTTATCATCACTTTAAGATGGAAACTGTACATAGTTGCATTAACAGCATGACAAAAAATTGCTATATGGCATCATTGGATCTGCGTGATGCATACTACTCTGTACCTGTTGACCCATCTTTCCAAAAAATACCTAAGATTTAGGTGGAATGATAAACTCTACCAGTATACAGCTCTCCCGAATGGCCTGTCTTTACCAAGTTAATGAAACCTGTGCTGGCCACACTTAGGAAAGCTGGGCATATTGTCTCCTGTTATTTAGATGATTTGTATTTGCAATCTAGTACATATACTGGGTGTCAAGAAAGTGTGCAAAATACCATGGAATTGTTGGAAAGTCTTGGATTTATTGTACATCAAGAAAAGTCTAAATTTACCCCTGCTCAGAACATAGAACATTTAGGTTTTATCTTGGACTCAAAAAACATGCATGTGACAGTCAATGAAGAAAAGCAATGTAACATGGTGACACTTGGTAATAAGATCATTAAAAAGAACTCTCAAGGAAACTGTTCTATACAAGAGGTAGCTCAGTTAATAGGCACAATGGTTTCCTGTCTGCCAGGTGTGGAATATGGTGAACTTCATTACAAAAGTTTGGAAATTGAAAAAATAGCTGCGCTTAAAATGTCTATAGGTAATTTTGATGCCCTGGTATCCCTTTCTCAGTCGTCTGTTGATGACATTAAATGGTGGTTTGACATGGCTCTCTTTCCAAGGAAAATTTCTCATGGCAATCCAGTGACCACTCTCCGAACTGACGCTTCTTTAGCAGGCTGGGGCGCTGCCATGAGAGATAAGACAACAGAGGGGCGCTGGATTGAAACTGAAAGGAATGAGCATATTAACTTTCTAGAACTGAAAGCCGTTTTTCTTGGGTTACAGTCATTATGTGGACGTCTAAAAAACTGTCACATTTTGATAGAAATAGACAATTCAACAGCAGTGGCGTACCTCAAAAACATGGGTGGCACCCATTCTGTACAGTGTAATCATATCGCAAAAACTATATGGCAGTGGTGCATATCTAAGAATATTTGGCTCAGTGCTACTCACATTCCCGGAGTAGAAAACACACAGGCAGACAGGGAATCACGCAAGTTCAATGACCGCACTGAATGGACTTTGCATAAAAAAGTGTTCAGTAATATATGTAAACATTTTGCAGTACCAGAAGTTGACTTGTTTGCTTGCCGGCTTTCATTCCAAGTTGACACTTTTTTCTCATGGAGAGCTGATCCTTTATCTGTAGGGACTGATGCTTTTGTTCATGACTGGAATAACTATAACCTTTGTTATGCTTTTCCACCTTTCAGTATTCTACAGAGTGTGCTTCAGAAGATAGTGCAAGACCAGGCAGATGTACTCCTGGTAGCTCCAGACTGGCCCACGCAGACATGGTATACACAGCTCCTGCATTTGTTGGTGCAGCCACCAGTGCTCCTACCACGGCGACAGAACCTGTTACATCTGCCACACAGCCTCCACCAAGTCCACCCTCTTTGGAGAAAAATGCAATTGGTGGTTTGTCACTTATCAGGGAAAACTTACAAAGGGAAGGATTATCAGACAGAACTCAGGAAATTATCATGTGTTCATGGCGTTCAGGGACCAAAAAACAATACCAAACATATATTAACAAATGGATTGCCTTTTGTACTGAAAGACATTTCAATTACTTACAACCAAATATGCCAGAAATTTTAGAATTTTTCACTCAACTTTATGACTCTGGATTACAGTACAGTGCTATAAACACAGCACGCTCAGCTCTAGCCACATTTATTACATTAAATGGAGATTTTTCCCTAGGCTCACACCCTTTAGTGAAAAGGTTCATTAGAGCTGTGTTTCAGACTAGACCAGCACTACCTAGGTACCAGTGTACATGGAATGTTGATATTGTACTTGATTACATTGAGAGACAATCACCTGTAGAAGAACTTAGTTTAAAAAAGTTAACACTAAAATTGGTAATGTTACTTGCATTGATAACTGGACAACGATGTCAGTCTATTCACCTGCTGAATTTAAGACAGATAAGGGTTTTGCACAGTGGTGTGCAGTTTGTCATAGATCAATTAGTAAAACAGACAAAACCTGGGAGAGAACAACCAGTGTTGATGCTGCCTAGATTTAGGGATAATGATTCTTTATGTGCTGTTCATACTTTAAGAGAATATTTAGTTAGAACTAAAGATTGTAGAGTTGGTTTAGATAGCACTCAGTTGTTTCTTAGCTACTTAAAGCCACATAAACCTGTTACTAAACAAACAATTAGTAGATGGGTCAAAACTGTAATGGCTCAAGCAGGCATAAACACAAAATTATACAAGCCACACAGTACTAGAGCAGCATCGAGCAGTAGGGCATTTTTTGCTGGTGTACCTTTAGCTTCTGTGATGAAAGCTGCAAGCTGCAGTTCTTGTACTTTTAGGAAATTTTATCAGAAACCTGTAAGTGACAGTTGTGATTATGCCTCCGGTTTGTTGAAATGGAAAAAGGAGGGGGCGAGTAGGTCTCATTATATTGTACATGATAAGGTACATGATAAATGTGGACTGCAAAGAATAACATGCTTAAGTAAGGTTAAAGGGTTTTGTTTTCTTTTTTGTAGTTGATAGATTTTGCATGAGTCTAATGCAGACATGATGTGCACAATTTGTTCTG